GACAGGAGTATTTTGGCACCGTTATCACAGGAAAATGGCTGCATCGAAAGTGAACAATATTACTTTGAGAATCGTCTGATATTGCTGCCTAACTGTATTGGAGTTCCTGAGTATGCGCATTGTTAGTTGGACAATGGTCTTCCGGTAATCCTCCATCCGGGAAGCGATGTTCACAAATCTTGATCAGATGCTGGTGGTGCGCGACAAGCAGTGAGCGAGGTATTCATGAAGTGGGTGACCTAGGTAGTTGAGGATTGTCTTCCTCATTTGGATACCGTGAGACACTGCTGAATCAGCCATTTCTAACGCCAAGTCATTTAAGAGAGACCAGGAGGCCACTGAATCTAAAAATAGGCTTCACCGATCACGTGCTTTCAGCCCGGTAAGATGACGGCTGCTGCCTATGTGTACTGGGGAAGGATGAATACATGGCTTAGTGGCTCCCGGAGCTTACAGCCACCTTAGCCTTTTCGCATAGACCACCCCTCTGCAGCAACGATTATTACCACTGATTGAACATCCTTATTCCAGGAAAAATTAGACGACAGAGTGACTGTCAGGTGCTTAATATGCCATACTTGGGTTATTGGCTGTCCAGAAATTTCCAAGGTCTGTGTCGACAGATTTGAGAGTGCCTGATTTAATGTGCTGCGCATCACGCAGATCCATTCTTTGCTTTTCTCTGGGTTAAGGAGAAGCTCATTAGAAGTGAAGTAACGGTATATGGCAGATGTGCCGTTCGTGTAACTGTCATTTTTCAGGTGTCCTCATGGAACTCAAAATCATCTCCTCATCAGCATATTTGGTTTATTTGAGCGAAGCATTCGCGACGTAATCATTAATAAATGTTGAATTACAAGGGTGAAAGGATCTAACCCTGCACGGTACCTTAGTTTTTTCATTAAGTCTGACTTTTTCCAGCTAACCTTGACGAACTAGCTGCGAAGGATGAAGTGGTTCGCGAGCCACCGCATGATAAAGTGGCTAACGGCGAGTGCACACGTTTGTACAAAAGTTTTTCACGAGGGACTGTATCGAATGCTGACTATGGATCGAGGAAACGTTTCAGTGGATTTGCTTTCCTTTGTCCATCTCTTTACAACTTCGTTTGGATGATGCGATATCAGCTTAATGGAATTATTTTGCTTCCACGTATGTTGTAAACGTGCAGTTTGTTCCACAGGATTCAGTCAAGCGTCCTTATGGTCAAACGTTTGTCCTATCTTGAAACATTCAGCTGATTTCCATCATAAACAAATTTGCTTTTTGAATTATTTTGTACTTTCAGAAATGTGTGAATGTTAAGTTTGAAACATATTTGGCTTTTCTCCTGGGTGTTCACACGGAAATCCATATTGTATAAGTGCTATCGTTTTTTTTCGGGTTCTCACATGCAGTGTAAGAATGTCTCATGCGTTACTAAATGTAATAAATGTGATTGTATTTTATATTATAAGGAATTTGCAGAATTCCTTGGAAGTAGGAATTATGGAAATATCAGAGCCATCAGGAATCACTATCTCATACACTGCTTTTGCAGTCGATGTCTGCCATTGACGAAGATTGGGCAAGATGATTGTCAACTGAAAAATATATTAAAATGGTTTATTTGTACACAAATCAAGCAAATTGGCCAATCGGATGATTGATCCAGTACCGACGTTTCTGCTCGTCTCATGGAACAGGTTGATTTCCGCATATCGTTCTGTGATCCGCAGATGTTGTGACGTTTGGAGCGAGATGCCAGTTTGCTTGCATTGTGTATAAATAAACTTTTTCTACGTTTTTCAGTTTTCATTATGATAACCAATACACGAACAAATTACGCAATTTTAAACTGACCGCTACTTCGTCCGAGTGAAGAATCAGAATTATGCAGCTTATCAGCAATTGCGAGCATATTTCTGCAAGCAAAAACGGGCGGAAACGTCGGTTTTTGGAGACTCTTATGACAGGAAGACCAATTATCACAGTCTAAACAGTGACAGTTAGTTTTACAGGTTGAACAGAATTGTAAAGGTATATATTTTTCAGAAAAAATTATGGCATCTTTTCATCAGCTCCGATTTCTTCTGCTTGTGTCGATACGTTCACTATTGAGTCTTGATGATGGCTAGTGCTGTTTGATCAAAACGTTATTGTTACTAAAGTTGAGATTTAAATCTATCTGCCGCTATCGTCGGTAGCAATCCTGGGAACTCATTTTTGATGAAGTTCTTCGACTCCTTGTACTCACAAACTTTTAATATACGTGTTCTTTTGAGTGTACTTGACTTTTGTCACTCACTAGTTACGATTGTCTCAGAACACCGTTTTAAAATCTCTGATACGCCGTTATGCGTATCACGGCACTAAAGGCATTCCGACCTACTTTTCTATGGTATGTGATGCGTACTCTGATATCCGTATTCCCCTTTCAAAACGTGACGCGTAGGATGGCGTTTTGCGAAGTAACTTTGGTGTAATTATGCTTTAAGCAATTGAAGTTGATTCGTTGATTCTCTTGTAAATTCAGAAAGTGACCGTAGCATATTTTGCTTAAATAGGATCAACTTGTTTAACTTAGCTGACTGTGATAGTTGCAATTTCGGTGCTAACGAGATGTTTCTGTTTTCGAACTTGCTTTTCCATGAACCCTTATTATGTCAAGTCCTAGGCTTTTACCACTTGTTCGTTCTGCCTTAAGATGAGGTCGATCACGTTCAATTTTATGGATTTGTTTATTCTCTGATTCGAAGTAATACAGCTGAGACAGCTGATAAACTGAAGTTTTTCATAATCATGGCCACAGTGATAAACGGACATAATTGCGTAAGACGGCTTTATAGGGCAGTGTATCGATATGGAACCGCTCTCTTGCTCTCAGATAACAGAAGAGCCATATAAGCATGCTGCAGCTTCGTGCCAAATTTACATCTGTGGTATTGTGACACATCCAAGAGTATCGGTTGCCATGTAACTTTTATGTTTTATAAAATTATGGTAATGAACCCGCCTTTTGACAGCAGAAAAATAGGATGATTTTTCAGCATATGTTTAGCAAACAGTTGGTATGGAACTGAAATTTTTCAGCATAGCACCAAAATTGAGGATATGCAAACTAGTTGAAAGTCATGTTCAGTTATGATGTTCATGAGAATGTTGAAAGTATGATCGGCGACTTCATCACAGCCATGTTTAGATCGAAGCTTTCGTACAACGCTGCGCTAATGCACTTGCCGATTGGACTAGAAGCAAAGTTCGTTGGTATTGTTGACCTGATTCGACAAAAAGCATTCTACTTCGAAGGTAGCCAAGGGTGAGCAATGGATTTTGTTTTACATTGGCCATAACATGCACAGGTTTCTATTTACGGTGGTTACTTGCACGTTTTCTCCTTTCTCTCGTATTTGGTCTCTACATCATTAGGAAAAGTGTTTACTTTTTTAATTGACATATAGTTCAGTTTTTGCAGGATGAGAAAGTTCAGTACTTGACTAATACCTTAGGTGGTCCTACTGGACATACAATGAAACATGGTTTGCTTAACGCATCCGAAGAATTAATTTATAAGGGTGATAAATCGGCTGCTGTTGGAATCGTCGTTAATTGTTAGCTAAACTTGCGCAATTGATGGTCAGATTAGTAATATTAGATTTCTCAAAGGTGTCTAATTTATGAACTCTGGTGCTGCAGCAAAGGTCATTATAGTCGAAACAGGTAAGCCTTTACAGGGTCCTTCCAAGTTTCTACTGTCCTGCAATGCGATAGGGAGCGGTTTCCAAGGGTGAAGTTTTTAAGAGATGTCCTTTCTCTTTTCTGACCGTTTTAATAGGCCGCTGAATGCGGTTACTAGCAGTTGTATCAGACCACTGGCCGTCAGTACCTGCACATATATAGCACGGTTGTGCAGTTGCATAGGATGCCTCAGATACCGTCGTCGGAAGATGCAGATATGAGCTTCATGACGCTTCAGGAGAGCGGATGCATCGATTTCATAAGTGTCGTGAAAGCCATTGTTTGGGCGAGGTTACTAAAGAATTCTGCTTTTCAGCATAAATCAATGACTGGAATGACAGGCTAATGGTAAATAATGGTGATTTTGATATGAAAACAATACTAAGACACTACTACC